CTGAATTTTGCTAACCTGTACTAGAGTAAACTCCCCAAATCCCCCCATCTATCGACACTGTTGAGGCTGATTTGCGTAAATTTAAACTTGCCGATTTAACTTTTTTATATTTTTGAGTGGCAATTCCTGGTTTCCTTACTCTAGATAAAATGTTCAACCAACCGGTCAGTTTCTAGACCCAGACACTGTGATTTATATACCCTATCCTAGAGTACACTGCTTGAAAACCATACCCTTCACAGCGGCAGATACCTATATAGCCCATATGTGGCAGTGCCCCCCCCCCGGGTGTAATAGATCCCAGCCTCCATGAAGCCAGAGAATTTCCCATATGCCAGGTTTCAGAGAAGTGCTTTCCCAGGCCAAACTCCTATTATCACACTGCTTCGGAGGAGAACTTAATGACCTTAACAGACAAGCGAGTTTTTTTTTGTTTTTTTTTTTACTTTGCGTCCATGTTGATATATCGTCATGTTGGCCAGACCAGTTAGTCAGTTAACAGTGAATCCAAGAGAGGTGAATCCGGATTGTAAGCCGCTGAAATAGACTTGGTGATACTAAAACGAATGTCCAATTTCAGAGGTTATTTGTACTACCGGGCGTGGAAAAGATTTTCACTTGTCGCGCATAAAGACTATATAGATACATGTCTCTTTTTTTCGAGTTTACAGTAGTTATTCACTGCACCCCTTTTGATTTTAAAGAGGACACAAAAGCTAACTTTGGCACTACCATTTTAATACTACATTGCACTCTTTTTTTGTTTTTACGAGAATATTGCTTTTCCGGCCCTGAATATTCTTATTTTTTTGCCGATTTTAGGTTGAAAATAGTTTTGTGAATATTCTTAGATTATAGGAAAACAAAGTAGACTGTGCCAATAAAACAACAGATTATCTGCCCTATCATGACTTTGCTGGCGTTGAAGTAATTTTGGAGTCAGACTGCAAGCAGTTCAGCAGGATATGGCACACGTAACTTCTTGTAGAAATGTTAATATTAGCATCGAACATACAGCTAGTGCTGTTTTTGTGTGTTTTTGGCTAATTTTGCCGTTTAGGGAAAAGAAGAATTTTTACACGGTTTAGTTGAAAACATACAATTGTATTTCAACACACAAAATAACATTCTTTTCAATTAATTTCGGCCTCGTGTTTAATCTTAAAATATTCTTGTAATTTCGCAAATTTCAGCCTCGATATTCTTATATAACATAAGTGTTTTCTTGTAGAACTGAGAAAAGAGTGTACCGAGCAGACAGCTGTCAATAAGGAATAATAAGCTCAAGACTATTGTTTCAACTTACCACTTGACTGAACTATTATTAAACTACATGGCAACTAACACTTAAAAGTTCCTCCTGAGAGTAAAATGAGCTAGGAGAAAACCAGAAGCTGCTTCAGTTAGTCACGCGCGTGGCATAAAGAGCAGATGCTTATGCTACCATCAAAGCCGACTCAAATCATTAAATCAAAGAACTGGTTGCCCTAGCTAGTGGTGTGAACTAAGGAAATTTATGGATCTTCAAAACATAAATTTGAAATAAAGCATGTTTGTAAGCATGTATGTTTCCATGCTATACGTGATGTGTTTCAGCATTTTAGCATCAGCATGTCAAATTTGCGGTTTGCAAACGTTCAGCTGATTGGCGGAGAGAAACAATAACACTGATTTATAAACAATTCCTCTTCGCTATCATTTTGACTGTGATCAATATTTAATTACGCCTTTTGAAAGACGTTCAATATTACCATGTTCAATCAAGCGTTACTCTCCCTGTTTTAACCGTCACGGATCTCAAGGGAACAGACGCGGAAGCCCTGATTTGAAACAGGCCATACAGCGGTATCTTAAGAACAGAGAAAGTGGCACGCGAGCTCGAGTGTAGTTTTAAAACAAACCGTGTCAACACAAGCATGCTGTTGAGTTAGATAAAACTACCATCAGTTAAAACGTAACTGTACTTCACAGATCTTCAATTTGGTGGTGAAGAAGCGCTATTTAAAATCAAATAAGAGGCAACAATCTTTGTGAGTAAACCATTCATGGTACACGCTATGAGATATGGGTAAAATACTCACTCGAACCGAACGTTCAGAGACCGAATATCCGGTTGTTATGATGGCTGCTCCAGTCACAGACATGGCGCTACCAAGCTCAGCTTGGCTCAAAGCAAATGGAGGCAAATATGACATGGATCCTGATTTACAGAGAAGTTTCACTCGGGGCGATTACCAAGACGTAAATAACCGTGCACGAGGTGTGATTCCAACGACGGCAAATACAATCGACGAGTACGGAAATGGAGATTCTACTGAGCATGGAGAGAACCGGAAACAAGAAGTTGATTCGCTACCACTTGAAAGGTTCGTCTGCAAATATCTTTCCTTTCATTACGAGACCCTTTCTAGCCCTGATTACCTAAGAAAGTTTCAGTTTTATCTACTGTGAAGGGTATAATAAAAGTACTCTCTGTCCGTCACACAGGGTAGATCAAGAATTTTCTATGATATCGCCGATGCAACTAGACACATTTTATGCCACTACAGCAGTGATCTTTACCACATTATATAATAATATTAACTCAATGTTCGTTTGTGAAGGTATGATTGCTTAACTGGTGAAAAATTACTTAATAACCAAACACAGTGAAACTGATAACAGAGCAGGTTCCCAAAACAACTGGTGGCTTTCGTCAGAACAAACAGATTAGTCCTTCTCAGTTCCACATTCAACATTTCTAACCATGTGTGTTGTCTTAGCCGAATATAAAATTTCAGTCTCCGTTAATTCGAGTTAATGCTTCATTTTGACGAAAACAAAATGATGTCAAGTAACTAAATTTCAAAGCTAATAGGTGTAAGGGATATCACAAAATGGCCGTGATCGTTACCGTCGATCAGCTACAGCTGAACGTTCTCTTTTTGTTACAAAACTTAACACTGGCCAGTGTGACCAGGCCTCATCCGTTCCGTCTAGCTGTAAGGTTACAAGAGTTATTGAGGATGCCTCAAAGTATTGAAGAGGTTTAAAATCACGTTTACTTTCCTTCAGTTACAACCCACTTCTGCCCTCTGCTGCTTTGTTTGTCGCTTGTACGTCATAGTGAACAGTCATAGTCTCTTGATAAGTGAGAACACGTGAATTTAAGGGAAACAGTTGATAGAATTAACGGCAAGCCGACGTTTGCCGTTTGCCGCAGAACGTGACACTTTTATATTACGTCTACGCTGAGACGAAAAAATTGCGAGAAATTGCGAGAAATTGAAAATAACTACTTCCGTTTCACTCGAGCATATTTTACTTTCTGTTTGACCGTGGATTACGGTGATATATCAACATCATGGTCCGTGACGGTGACGTCATAGAGTAAGGTGCCAAATCATGAGATAATGAGCTACTTACAGATAACATTTTGCTCCCAGAGTTTAACAATAACAAATTTGCCTCATTTACATTCACCTACATTCATCTTGTTAGTTTTTCAGACGACTGGTGGAGCCATTCTATTTCCTGCGCGGATGATTACCAGCCCTACGACATCGATCAGGCTGAGGAGGCGCCATATTGGCTAAACTCTGAAGAACGCAGTGACAGTGCCAATACCTGCTTCAATAACGCGCACTATACTAAAAACGACATCTCTGATCAAAATACGACTGATTCCCACGTACAGGGACTGAAAGACAAAAACGGCATCTTAACTAAAACGGAGGAGAAGATACAAAGTTTGAAGGCTTTGTTGGCAGAGCAAGAAAAGGCAATTAATAGACTGAAAAGTGAAAAAAGGGAAAGAATATTTGAATCAAAAGGATTTCTGACAAAGGAAGACCATGAATATTCCTTGGGTAAACAAGTATCATGTAAAAATGAGAGGGATGTTTCGGTTAAAAGTCATCAAAAACTAATACCCATGAATGATTTATATAAAGAGTTCAAAAGAACTTCAACAGGTACGAGTCGAAAACGAATGCGTACAGAAGATACCGCTCTATCAAATACAAAGAGATTTCGATATAATTTAAGAAAAGATATACCACTAGATGTTAACAGGTCTTTGGAAAGGAAAACTAAAGAAACAGTTTCTCTTTTCAAGGATAAAATAACAGTTGAATCATTTAAAGGGGATAAAGGGAAAAAATCTTTCACACAAGATGAATTCCTGTCTTTCCTTGGACTTGTTAGAACTACAATGACGGTAAGTGATTATCACCAAGAAATACTATGAATATTAGTGTGAATATATAAACAATAGCCTCCATTTGGTGCGGAAATATACTCGGATATTTGTACGCGGACATTATCGGTTCCGAGAAGCGAACAGTTTTCCGAGAGCGTGGCTAGAAGAAAACTGTGAGCTTTGAGGAACAGATAATGCCTAAGGAAAAATATCCGAGCATTTTTTTCGCGCAAAATGGAGGCAAAATGTTTATTATCCTTCAAATATTTTTCGCAACAAGCGCGGTTTTGAAAATTCGGGAATGTCACCCGGATATTCCCCAGTTCAAGCTGGGGAATATTCAGTCACTGGGGAATATCAGTCAGGGAATATTCAGAAACGTGACGCGTTTAGACCAATCCCACGCGAGCAAAAATATTTGATGGATTATAAGAGCTAGTATGGTCCAAGTCAACCTACGGCAGTGTAAGCTGCTTGCATGCAGGTACAAGAAACAAGGGTGTAGAAATTTGATTTATTAGAAAATTATCATGATAAGCTTTTGTAGAGTAACGAGACGGTAGAGTTTAGAATTTTTTTATGTCGAGGAGCAAATTATATTGCAGTATATACGAAAATATAGATAAAATTAAAGAACAATACAATGTACGTAAGGAAGTTTTAGCGAGATATTTTATCAAATTTGTCCATTAGACCGGCCGTTAGAGGAAAAAGACAGAAAATCAGGGGTGACGTTTTAATAATATTGGAATGGGTCAGGCAACACACAAATATTTTTCAAGCGAAGTTATTATTGTCATTTCATTTAAAAATCTGAAAATGATACTGGGATCATGTTGTTGCTCGTACAAGATCATATTTTCAGTAGACGGGAGTAGGACTGGCAAATAAATATTTCTGGTATGAACAGTGTTTCCCCTTTGTGAGTAGAACTCCGACAACAAGCTTACCCTTCATGCACGACTGTCCGATATCTTTTACACAACGAAACTAAATTATTTTTCCGACGACAAATTTAGTCAGTATTATTAATCAACTCTGGCGTAGAAAATAACACGGATAAATAATCGACAAGCTTGAAAAAAAAGTCTCCTTCCATGATCTGAGAAGGAGAAAAGGAGGAGTCGAACCTATGACCTTCTGACAGTCGATCGAATGGCATGGTTTACGAGCTCCTAGTTTGTCATCGGTGAGCTCACGGAAGGTCATTGAGTCAACTACTGCATGTCGGGAGAACTTTTTCCGAGTCGCTTGCGTTTGTGTGTATTTCTCATATTTCTAGCAACCTTAACACGTACACCATCACCGATTGCGGTATCATGTCAGTTTCAAGATAGTAGTGTATTTAAAGCTCAAAACAAATATGGAAATGGTAGTTGCTGGTCACTTTTAAAAAATAAAACTAGATTGATTTAATCCGGTATATTTAGACATGTGTTCTTTGGGAGATTAATTTGAGGTGGAGAGTCTAACTTAAACGATAGCTGATTTTTAAACAACTGCTTTCCTAACAGCATTTGTCGACGGAAAGAAACTAATCTACCCGCTTTCTGCAAATTATTGTCATGTTCTGCACTTAAAGTTCTCTTCGATGCAAACAGAGGCGTCACTGATATCAGTAATTTGTATGGCGTGACGAACTTTTTGGCACAGTTACTTCCGCAATTGACCCATTCTATTGTAAAGAGGAACGCGATTAGCAGTATTAGTGTAATCGCACTCTCATTACCAAAATATCAACTTTATTTAATGATAACGTTCCTTATATAAACGTTAAACATGAAAGCGCAACAAATTTCAATCACTGTAAATAGAGGATATTACCTGCCCGCGCACGGATACGAATTTTATCTTCGAGTGTTCAACTCGATATCTCACGAGTGAGCGCAGTGAACGAGTGAGATATGGAGTTGAACACGAGAAGATAAAATTCGTATCCACAAGCGGGCATGTAATATTCTGTTTATTATATAAACATACTAATGACGACGTTTTTGACGATTTTCCGAAGATTTCCGATCACTTTCCGAAGATTTCCGAAGATTTTCCAAAATTGTTCCGAAGGCCAGACGAACGCTTCCGAACATTTTCCGAAAATTGCCGAAGACGACCTGAGAGGAGACGAAGATGTTTCGATCATACATCAACGAATTTAAGTGTAGTTAAAGGGACGAAAGAAAAATGTCATCAAAAAGGAATGATATCTCCACAGCGTAAAAGATAAAAATATTATCTTCACTGCGCGCGATGAAGATATGACTTTTTAGTAACAGGAAAAATCCTGGTATTCCACGGGTGTTTATATAATAAAATGATTTATTATATAAACACTAGTGAAATACCAGGATTTCTCCTTTTACTAAAAAACCATATCTTCATCGCGCGCAGTGAAGATATCATTTTTAATCTTTCACGTGTGAGGATATTGGTGTCGCCATGGTTACTAACGTGATAATCGCTTAAACTGAACTTAGATGTGTTGCTGTGTGATCGAAACATAATCGGATCATCCTCGGATATCTTCGGTTATCTTCGGAAATCTTCGGTAATCTTCGGAAATTTTCGGAAAATGTTCGGAAACGTTTGTCTGACCTTCGGACAACTTTTGGAGAATCTTTGGAAATCTTCGGAAAGTGTTCGCAAATCTTCGGAAAATAGTAAAACAATTCGTCATTAGCATGTTTAGATCATAAACAGAATATTACATGCCCGCTTGTGGATACAAATTTTATCTTATCGTGTTCAACTCGATAAGATAAAATTCGTATCCACCCGCGGGCATGTAATATCCTCTATTTCTTCCTATGCTGTAAAATTAAATAATGCTTAAAGAAACAAGAACTTCATTGTCATTGGGATCACACATAACATACCTCTAAGCGCAAAACTGAAGCGAACCAGAGTGATTGACATGTTTGGAAACGACGCATTTCTTTGTTGAAAATAAGAAGCACTGAAATGCATTGATAACGAAACTAGCCTTATAATTATAACTCTGGGGGGCTGGCCTAGACCGGAGGAAGGTAATGGGCTTTGTTGTATGTCTATTCCTTGGGTCACTACAGGCCTATCATCGTTTGTACGATTCGAAAGCAGAGAGCCACAGTATATCATGTTGCACAAATGAGAAATTAAGTGTTACTAGGTCTTCTCAGTCCTTCTTAAACCAATTTCAAACAAAAATTCCTCTTGTCTCCCTTGCGGCAGATAAGCCACGTCATTACAATCTGACTTTCTTTCGTTAGCTTGTTTTATGATACCAGTGTTTTCTTCGTAAAGCGTATGAAATCCTTCCTTTTTTCTCGTCTTACTCTCCCACTGGCGAGCGTTAAAAATATCAAATGATTTTATCACGTGTTGGCAGATGTCATCCAGATTCACCTCTACATGATCATCTTTTGTCGCTTCCTGCCTCTCGTGAACTTCATAACTCCAATCGTTGGCCTCTGATTCTACTTTTTCCTGTCTAACATCTTGATCTGGTGCTTCCATGCTCATGACCTTTGCCATATTACTTTCTTTCTGTGTTCTTAGCCTAACCAGTTCTTCTTCTTGCTTCGCTAGTCTGGCCTTAAGAGTCGTTATCTTATTCTCTCGATAAGTCATATCTGATGAAATATGAACACCACCGTTAATCCTATTGCCGTTCCAATGTTCTTTTCTTTCTTCTGTTTTTACGGTGCTGTTCTTTTCTTCTTTCCCACAGTCGTTGTCATTGTTTAGGTCATTTAATTTTTGTTCACCATTGCCTTGATTGTTGTTTTGTTGGTCATTTAAGACGCTGCACTGAGTTTTGTCTTGGTCACCTTGGATGAGACTGTCGGAGTTACAGCCATTACAGTCCCAACCTACATTCAGACTTTTACTGGTATTTTTTTGGTTTTGGTTTTGTGCTGGGCATTTTCTTTTACCTTTCCTTCCACTGCCAAAAACACCCTTACGTTTATGCTGGTTACTTTTCTTATTTTTTCTTTCTTTATCACCTGTGTCCTCCATGGGTGGATCAAACTCACTCTGGTCACCTGCATTCACGTCTCTCCCACACATACCTTCACCGCCTGGTCTTGCTATGTCATCGTCATTGCATGACTTTATTTCTTCTTCGTCGCCAATTGTAAGGTCTATAAAGTTATCCGATACCAAATAAGGCTTCATCTGCGAACTGTGAGTGCATGTGTTGACATCTTGAAGTAAACTTTTCGAAGGCTGTTTGTTAGACATGTCACTCTTCCTTGCAAATGTTTCTTCATTCTTACAGGAGAGCCTACCTTGGGTGCTGGTCTTTAGCCCAGGTTCTTGTGCATTTGAATTGAGGGAATTCAAGCTATAGACTTCCACAATTTTAGGAAGGTGATCGTTCTCCGTTTTCTCAGTTAAAATGCTGCCATATCCGCGTTCATTTGCCGAGATGCTACCTGTTTCCGCATATTTTTCCGATGACTTGCATGTCGACGCTCCCTTTTGCTTGCCACCTTCCTTTAGACTAGACAGAGTATTCACTGTTACTTTCACGGGAGTAGTCAGGGGAATCATTTGACCGTCATAGTAGACCGGAAACTGGCTACGCAGTTTGAAGTCTTTATCGATGATCTGTTGATATCGTTTGGCCACCTCATGCCATAGAGGATCATCGCTTGAGTACCTATAACAAGGAATGGAGATCAGTACTAAGAATGGTCAGTCACAACAGCACAGGCGCCTACAGGGGTCACTATTTTTTTGTAAACAACAGTGTATCTCTAACTCCTTAACTTAAAATGGCTTAAGAATTCATTCAACTGGTGCTTGGAGCAAATCTGCCTCTAACTGGCTGCATAGAATAAAATTCTTTTCGGGACATATTTTCATTATAATTTAGGTTTTTTGTTTGAAGAAGTAACTTGTCAGCAATTAGGAATTACTGCTGCATTGCTGATACTGCACACATGATACTGGGAGCTGAGCAGTTGCTGAAACAAACTAGAAAATGTGCCTTTGAACCATGGACGGAATTCTTTATAGCTAAACAGAGTCCGTAGGTCAAACCAATGAAAAAAGCTGTACAATAGATATAGATTACTTCATAGAAAGTGCGACGTACGGATTTTTATTCACGAGTTGCAAAACTTTGGAAAACGAGCAACAAGCGGACAAAGAGCCTGCACAAGCTTAAATATAATACGGGAGAATTCGTAAATACATAAAGTGAAATCTTTTCGCTTGTCCCTAATCACTCTCAGATTTAATCACGTAATGGCGGCGCTTCGCGCTGTGCTAAGACAAATTCGGACTCTTTGACTCACACTGTTTAAATTTGAATGTTCCTCCTTGAATGTTGGCTTTCTGATCTAAAATTTACTTCCTCGATTTCTTAAATGGCCATTGATTCTCAAACTGAAGTTCTAGCGCTCAAGATGTTGGATATATTTCGCTGCTGTGTTCCCGAAAGTGAACTGAAACGGGAAGACGAAGCCATGTTCTCGAAACACAAACTTCAAGCGGGCGCTGATTTCGACCGCGCTTCTCGGATACCATTTAAGTGCTTAACTCTGAATGGCTAAGTGTTCTACTCTGAACGGTGATTGGTTATATTTTCACTTGGGAAGAACGCCATACTCGAAGCTGATTGGACGTATCGCTTTTTTCACATGTGGAAATATAGCACATATAGAATTCTATTTGCAAGGTTTATTGCCTAAAATGCTCGCTATATGTACAATAAAAAGGCCTGATGCTATGTAATGACACTAGAACATAGAAGTAGAATTGACTGTTTTACCCCTCAAGAAGGTCCATAACTCGACATTATTACACATACTATTATAACATGGTTAAGTAAAAGCCATCCAATGGCAACAACTAAAAACTTTACAATTAGTTGTTATAATTCTTATTTTAATTGTCTTTTCTAAATTTTTACCAGTAATTTTTAATTGTAGATTTGTAAAGATTTAGTGATCTTATTACTGCAATATCGGTGGGCAACGTCTTTGTTAGCTTTTATTTGCTATTAAGAGGCTGTCTCTGTAAAAACCGACCACTGATTTTAATTCGAAAATTCGATTTTTCTCATAAGCTGGTATTTCGAAGCCCTTACCCAGTCAATCACTAAAATGAGTTTTATTTTATTAAAAATTCTAACTGAAGTTTCCTAAGATTGATTGAAGTTCGGTCCGCTCGACACAACCTGCATGCCTGCCGAAACAGGAAAAATAGCACATATTGCCGACGCTCTAAAAAGAATAATATTCGCTCAAAAGTCCCAATTCTTTTTCTCAACCATAAATATATCATAGCAGTTTGTTTATCATGTAGAGTCCTATTGAAAGGTTTGCACTCTTTTGGACAACTCTCGGCACACATACATGTATGAACAGTAAACGGTGATCAGAGGAGCCAAGGAAGGACTGATAAATGCCACGGCCATTTTGTGTTTACAACAGGTGTTTTTAGTTCCCAATCTTCCCGTGAGTATAACAGGAATGTGATCCTCACGGGAACATTGGGAACTAAAACACCTGTTGTAAACACAAAATGGCCGTGGCATTTATCAGTCCTTCCTTGGCTCCCCTGATCACCGTTTACTGTTCATACATGTATGTGTGCCGAGAGTTGTCCAAAAGAGTGCTTCTACAAACCTTTGAAGAGGACTCTACTTGATTAAATCGGCTTCGAGGAAAACAATGGTCAGTAATACAAAGAACATCGAAGTATAAATGTACTTTATATACAAACCTACAGCTGGAAGGAAAAGCTGGCAGTTTTAATGCTACTTAGGTTTCAAGGATCGCTGCAAAGGACCAAAACTTTAATCTTGGAGCCAGGCAGGAGATTTACTTGAATTTATCGGTGCACTTTACGAAGGCGAGTATGTTAGTTTCTCACTAGAATATTTTCAAAATTTCCTGAACTTTAAGCGGTCGTTAGTTTTGAAAACCTAG